TATTCAACGAAATATGCATATTTGCAGTATTCTATTTATGTATGTATAGAAGCTAGAAATTTTAAGCTTAATATGATTTTTCTGTTATCTTACGAATAATGTAAAGAAAAAAATACGAAGCTTTCTTACGAATTATGTAAAAATAAAGCCAAATACGATATTAGTATTGTTGAAGTAAAAATGGGTTACCTATTTTCAATGTTACAATTTCTAACTTACGTTTATGCACATCGTAACATTTTAGTAAATAATTAAAAAAAATGCGTTGATTTTAACGTTTTCTTTGAGTTATGTTAATGGAATTTACATACTCTTAAATATTGTTTATATGTTCTTACTCATTGTAGTAATAGCGAAAAAAAAATCATTTTAGAAATTAAAGTTAAAAAATATGTTTGAAAGTCAATATGGAAAGAACTTAATCTGAAAAAAGAGCCAACAATTTGGAATTGGTATTTCCCGGACGAGTGGGAGTGGAACACTTCAGTCGGAAGATCAGCGGGGATTCATGGGCATTCAGAATCCAGGATTCAGATTGAGAGCATTGAGATGAAGGATTGAGATGGAGAGAACTGGATCGCCATAGATGCTATGAACAACGCTGACTTGGATCACTAGCCCTGAGATTGCTGAATGATGTTCTGTATTTTATTAAGTTTATTGGAATATTGTTGGTGGTTAATTGTAAAGATGATTTCTCCACTTCCCTCGAGAGACATATATATTAAATATTTGCATATATTTTTATAATTACAGCTTTATTTCTGTTACCATTCTCAGTGCTTATCATCTCTACAATGCAATATTTTATTTCTATTTTGTTGAGATTCGAACCCGTCACCGTAGGTATTTATAAACATTAATTGTATGAAAGGTCTATTTTTAAAATACGTGTTTGAATAAAATCGGTAATGTTTCTGATTTGTAGTCGAACTCGTAGACAGGTTCATTATTCTTGCTAATCCAAATAGAACCATTATTTCCCTCCTTCAAAACTTTGATCAAACTATTGCCCAGGATTTCCGCTCTGAAATATTATCAAACAATCATCGTCGTTGTATCTTATATTGATTTACTCACGACTGATAGACTAGCTTGATATCGTTTATAAACTGTTGGTAGTATTCTGGTAGATTTTTCGAAAATTCGGTATCCGTTGCTCCCGGACAGAGACCCATGACCTTCACTTGCGTATTCTGGTAATGAGATTCCGATCCCAAAGCCTGAGTGTATGCAACTATTCCGTGCTTGGTTGCACAATAATCGGGAAACAAAGCTATTGGATACAAACCAGCAACCGAAGCTATATTAATAATAACTCCCTCCTTACCCTTCCTGTACTTCGGAAGGAAATCGAAGAAAGCAAAATTTGATATTTGAATTGTCGCCAACTAAAAATTGAAATATAAACTCAACTTATTGAAATATATTAATCATCTAATATTTTCATAATATATTTATTGATATTTAATACAAACCAGATTTATTTTGATGACCATCTCAATATTTCCAACAATTCCCGCGTTGTTTACTACGATATCCACATTTCCGAAATGATCCACACACTTTTGAAATGCATCTGAAAGTAGTTAAAAACGAATGCAATAAATCGCAAAATTATACAATAGATTTATATACATTTTTACATAGTAGAGAATTTCATTGTAGAATAATTATTGGTGGAGTGGGCGTTATTAATTGTACTTGATTAGTCTAACAGTCAATTATATATTTCCTATTTACATTTTCTAATTTAATGTAACCATGAAACAATTAATTATATACTTATTGTTCGGACTATGATCCACCATTTGAGTCCATTTTCTAAGTGCAAACGGAATGTTTTTTTGTCTTTACTTAGCAGTTTTAATTGTGCCTCTTCTTTTCTCTATTCTCGAACCATTTTCTCTGTTGGTGGTGGATCAAAATGTCTTTCTGCTAATCTGTTTCCATATTGTTTTGCACAATTGATCACTACTGAATTTAATAATTGCATTATTGATAGTTAAAATTATGTGTTTTTAAGTTTTCTTTTAATTATGTTACTGGAACTTTCATGAAATTTTGAGTTTTTATGGAAGATGGTTATGTATTGTATTGATTACCTTTAACTTTTTCGAAATCTGTTACGTCTACCTTCAAGAAGAGCGTCTTGTTAGCACCGAATTCATTTTCCAGCGAAGTCTGAAATTCCTCAGCCTGAGTATCGTTAACATCTAACAATGCGACTCCCTAAAAAAATATTTTTGAAGTGTTATTTTGCTTAATTTTCTGCATGTAATCTGCTAACTTTGGCTTTGTTTGTGAGCAAAGACCTGACGAGTACTCTTCCAATCCCGCCAAGCGCACCTGTGACAATCGCGACTGTACCTTCTACGTCGAACATCGTTGCGAAACTAGCACTATAATTCATAAATTTATTTCATTCGCTGTTTGCTAAGATAATTCCAATCAGTACAGTATTTTTTTCTGCATAGTTCACTGATATGCGTATGGAGAAGCAAAGTTCAATAAATTATCCGAATGTAGAATTATTCCTTACATGTAGACATAGACCACTTATGTATAAATAATTTGTGTTAAAATATTTTACAGCCTTTACAACCATTTTCATAATATGTAGTTTAGCATAAAACCTGGAACATTTTATGGTATATTGCTGTAATGTATATATAAACATTGATTTTAAATTTTTTGGAAGGTAATTAAAATGTGTTTAAACTTTATTTTGTTTATATTTATTTATACTGATAGTAAATTAAAAATCTATGAAATATCATGAACTATGTAAATATCTACATTTTTATAATTTAATTATAAATATTTATAGCATTATTGACAGAACTCTGTATACTTTTTTTTAAGATACTAATTTCCTCAAAATCGGGAATGTTTTTGATTTGTATTTAAACTCGATAGCAGGTTCATTTTTCTTGCTGACCCAAATAGAACCAGTGCTTCCCTCTTTCAAAACCTTGATCAAACCCTTGCCAACGACTCCAGGTCTGAAAATATTATTAAATTATCATTAACATCTTATCTTCATTTTCATTTGCTTACGGTTGACAGATGAAATCCAACTCCCTCATAAACTGTTGGTAATATTCTGGCACACCTACAAAAATTTCGGTATCTATTACTCCTGGACAGAGAGCCATGACCTTCACTGGAGCATTCTCGTAACGACCATTCACTCCCAAAGCCTGAGTGTATGCTACCACTCCCTGCTTTGCTGCAGAATAATCGGGAAGCATATGGCTTGGATACAAACCAACAACCGAAGCTATATTAATTATGACACCCTCCTTGCCTTTTCTGTACTTTGGAAGGAAATCGAAGAAAGCAAAATTTGATATTTGAATTGTCGCCAGCTGAAAATTTAAATTGTTAATATATAATCTAATTATTATGATAAACTCACATTTTTAAAATAAAATAATTGATATATGTAGTCCTTTGCCATTTATAGCAGTTTTTGTAATTTATTATTGCAATAAATAGTATTATTTTCTTTCATTATATGTATTAAATTTGAATGTTTTCAATTTATTTACATTTAATACGTACCAGATTAATTTTGATGACCATCTCGATATTTCCAATAATGTCTGCATTGTTCACTACAATATCCAGATTTCCGAAATGATCCACACACTTTTTAAATGCATCTGAAATTAATTAAAAAATAATGCAATAAATCAAATAAGTGGCATAAAACTATTCTATGGTACTATTAGACACATAGAAAGTTTATTGAATATTCAAAGTAAATATATATTAATTTAGCATAATAAATACAATTAATAAATTTTTATTATATTGACAATTATAGTAATATTATAGTCATTATTCTTGCAATCTATAACAAATAAATAATTAAATTTTAGTGAATTATCGATGATCTCAAACAGTGGTTCCCAACCTTTTTTGTGCCACTACCCATAAATTCTCTCTAAAATTGTTATACCCTGTATACATTTTAGAATTTCCCCCCCTGTGAAGTTGTGGCAAATTGGATATGATGAATTGAACAGTTTCACTATACTATATAAGCGAGGTTCCACTGTATATTTTTACTTTGATTAATTAAAAATAGTTTTTTTTAATATTCAAACTGAATTATAGTGAATCGGACTGATTGAACCCGAACTATGCGAGATATTGCTGAATTTGCTTCGATGCTTTTACGATATTTCGATTTTCATAAAATCAATGTCAATCTTTGGAAGTAATAGCAGATAAATCAATCAACTATGTCTTATGTAATATTAATCGTATTAAATTTTTGAATCATTATTTCTAAAACATTAAATAATCTAAATTATGTCATGTGGAAATGTGAAATTCAAGAAAGATGTGAAATAATTTTAAATATGTTTATTTTATTATGAAATGTATAAATTACTAAGTATTTCAAAATAATAATTTTGCCAGGTCAACAAACTGCACACCAATCATGCTATTCCAGTCTCCTTGCTATTCCACTACTAGAATGTTAGTGCCACTCAAAGAGTTAAAAATAGTTTCATTTTTAATTGTTTTTAAAATGAAATTATGCTTCGATCAGTACGGATTTTCTTTTTGCTATATTGCTTTTTGCAATGTTATTCAATATCACAGCAAGTCAATATCACTGAGTCCATTGGAGAATTATGATGGTACTGTATCCTCTTGTAATTCTGTCTGCAATGGTTGATTCGCCACATAGTTGTTGTGTACATATTCTGTTAGTTAGATCTATATTCATTGATAGCCTTCATTAAATATTCCTTTATTGTTTGCAGATCTTCCTCGATTTTTGAATTTTTAATCATTGATAATCGTTATTTGTTTGCTCTTCATTTTTCTTTTCTAATGCGATATCCTCTCTCCTTTACATAATTTCATCCCTTTACCCTACTTTGTTGAACATGCAGCATGGTCATCGGAATTGCAAGCCCTATATTTCGGAGGAAGCGGTGAGAATCCTGGCGTTTTAAACACTTGATTTTGTTGGGACAAGACAGCGTTGTGACCATGCTTTTTCGGTTTTTTCATAGATACGCAACCGTCTTAGTTTCTAATATAACGTCTTTACAGTTTCCGGGCCCCTTTTGACCACAATTTAGATAGTTATGATGTATGTGTAGTTTGAAAACGTTCAAAGCTGTTTTACTCGCAACGTACTTTTTCTTTCAGTTGGCAAGTTCTGGTGGCGTTTTGAAGACCTCAGCGCTGTCACCTTTGGTCATCTTTTGGTTTTCCCTGCTCCCACTCAAAACTCGCGGCCTCCGAAATGCAAGGTGATTTATCCGTAACCTCTGCTTCCGGCTCCATGGTCACAAGTATGCACCGCAATCGCACTGCGCACATCAAAAAGAAGCCAAAAAAACAAGAATATCTTTTATCACAATCACACTCTATTCAACATACAAACAGGTCCCGAATCGAACTGTTATTTCTATTAAATTTTAGAATCAAATTTTGTAGTAAGTTTTTTTTGTACAAATATTGATGTGAAAATAAAGCCGAATTAAATATTAGAAATAATATTGATGATGAAAATGGCTTAATTATAGTTGACTTTTACATTATTAGTAATACGCATTTGATAGTTCAAATTATAATAGTTTTTTTTTATTATTTGATATATAAAGTTTTAATTACCTTTGACTTTTTCAAAATCTGTTACATCTACCTTCAAAAATAGCGTCTTCTTAGCACCAAATTCCTTATCCAACGATGCCTGAAATTCCTCAGCCTGAGCATCATTTGCATCTAACAATGCAACTCCCTAAAAAAAATATTTAAAAGTATTGACTTGCTCAACTTTTTGCATGTTATTCACTAACTTTGGCGTTGTTTGAGAGCAACGAATTGACGATATCTCTTCCAATACTGTCAACCGCACCGGTGACAATTGCGACTGTACCTTCTATGTTGAACATCGTTGAGGAACTAGCGAAAATGTTCGCAAATCTATTGGATTGGTTTTGTATAAAAAACCTAAAACCTGGAACATTTATATCGCTATAATTTACATTTAAAATAAAATTAGTTTTTTTTACGGTAAACTTTATTTTGATTATATTTATTTATACTGGTAATAAATAATATATCTAATATATTTGTTTACAGTAATCGAGGCTATATTAATTATAACACCATCTTTATCTTCCTTCTATACTTTGGAAGGAAATCGAAGAAAGCCAAATTTGATATTTAAATTGTCGCCAACTGAAAAAAAAATGTTGAACTTCTAGACCATATATCTTGAGGGAGGACACTCGAGCGTTAATGAACAACGTTTCCAAAATCGTCCCTTTAAAGTTTAAACCCGTAATTTCGTCTATATATAGGTATTCCTCAAGCTCACCTCTGTCTCCAATCTTATATAAACTGCAATATCTCGATAATACCACGTTGGTTTCCCACGCCCCCACCTTTCAAATCCTGATCCTGAACCTACAAAACTTCCTCTCCGCATCATTAACCTGGATCAACATTGAAATGAACCGTTTCAAAACGAAACTCCTTGTTCTTTATTATTCATTGCCTCTTTCCCACATTTCTCTATGTTGCCTTAGAAATAATCCCATATTCTTTCTCACCTTGTAAAATACACAGGTTTTCTTGACCTTAACTTTATTTGTAAAGATACAAATCTCTCCAAATTTAAGTATCCCATATGCATGTAATATCTAATTCCCTATAATTAGGTTCCTATTTCCTTCCTTTTTTCTATCATATTTTTTTTATTATTTAGTTTCCCAGGCGGAAAGACCTAGTTTAACAGCCCTTTCCATTTTTTTAATGTTAGGACCGAATTTCTTATCCAGCTAAATTCCTTTCATCTAACAATGCAACTAATTTGTTATAATAATTTCAATCAGTACAATAAATACTGTCAAATAAACTAGATTTATTTCTTCATTTTTGTTCAAACCTTTTAAAACTTCACATCTAAATCATTTAAACTTTAAATGATCAAATCAAAATAGAGTATACAAATCGTCAATTTTCTTAGCTGAACAATTTAAGGTAGAAAACAATTTAATATACATATTTGTTTATTGTGAAGTTAAATAAATATAAATTATTTCACCTATATAATATTGCAATGATTTAATTCTATTTTTTGTGTGTTCGATTTTAAAATCTATACTACCAACATTTATACAATTTGCAATTGCAATTATTGTTTATTATTTATTTACAAATATTTATTGAACAAATAGGCTATCAACTGTACGCTTTCTAGACGTACATTTTTAAAAGGCGTGTTTCGACAAAATCGGCAGTGTTTCTGATTTGTAGTCGAACTCGACGGTAGGTTCACTCTTCTTGCTGATCCAAACAGAACCATTACTTCCTTCTTTCAAAACCTTGATCAAACCTTCGCCAACGAATTCAGTTCTGAAAGATTTTTAAATAATCATCATCATTGTATCTTTGTATGATTTTGCTTACGGTTGAACGACGTTCTCCATATCCTTAAAAAACTGATGGTAGTATTCTGGCACATTTTTAAAAATTTCAGTATCTGTTCCTCCTGGACAGAGAGCCATGACCTTCACTTGAGTATTCTGGTAATGACCATTCACTCCCAAAGCCTGAGTGTATGCTACCACTCCGTGCTTGGATGCAGTATAATCAGGGAGTACATGGAGTGGATACACACCAGCAACCGAAGCTATATTAATTATGACACCCTCCTTGCCCTTCCTATACTTCGGAAGAAAATCGAAGAAAGCCAAATTTGATATTTGAATTGTCGCCAGCTGAAAATTTAAATAGTTGAAATAGAATCAAATTATTGATATAAGATATGAGAAGAAATAAAAGAATTATATTGTATTGATTATTTTATGTTTTAAATTTAAAGGTATTCCATTTATTTTCATTCAATACATACCAGATTTATTTTGATGACCTTCTCGATATTTCCAATAATTCCTGCGTTGTTCACTACAATATCCAGATTGCCGAAATGGTCTACACACTTTTGAAATGCATCTGAAAGTAATTAATTAATTAAGTGAAAGTAAATAATTATTAAATTGACTTTATCAATTAGTTATATTTAAAAAAATATGTAGATTCATATGTGTTAATTATTAGCAATTAATAATATTTTAAGCTGTCGTGTCCCGGGATGGAATATCTCTGGACACTGTGGAATAATTTGTAGTATTCTCGATATGGAGTCCTAGTGGGTTTTATGGTAGAGTCTAGATTAAAGTTAGTTGGGTGATGGAGATTCTTAATCTAGCTTCCAGTTGCTACAAATATAGGTTGCTGTTCAAGAGTAGTATAAACTAGAACTATTACTAGGACACTTCCCAGAACTAACTTAAGACGTACTGAATACAGAATAATATTCTAAGGGTAAAGGCTAATCGCCCTGTAGGATGTACGTCGTAGACGCCGGCAGGGATTTGTTTATCTCTCCCGCTAAGATTTATAGGGTGATAATTCTTACACTTGTTTGGGGAGGTTAATTGAGGGTGGCATAGTTTTTATAGTTAGCTGATAGTTTTATAGATAGTTTTTATAAGACTGTACTTATTGATACACAGTACACATAATACTTATTAGTATATATATTGACGATAAGATTAATATACAATCAACTTAATAAATGCCTATCGATAATTGCAAGATAATTAAATAAATATGAAATACTTGTTTTCATATAAAATAAACTGATTAGTCTGTCAGTCAATTTTATTCTCTTTTTATTTAATTAAATCTTGCAAAGTGTAAGAAATAATTATATTTTAGTAAATTATCGATGATTTTAAACAACCAGTGTTGTCCCATGCGCCACCAAAGCATTTCTAAAATTCTTATGCCCCTATGTAACATATATGTAATACGCCATACGGTCCATTATCGAATTGTCCCCCTTAACAATCAAATTGCCCCTGTTAACATTAAAATTGCCCCATGTGAGGTGTGGGCCTCTCGTGGGGAAACACTGATCTAAAATCTGTTGTAAAAAAGTTGAAATTGTGATGAAAAATATTTAAATTGCTCTTAGATTTAACGAAATGCGTTCTTAATATTCTATTTATTTCTATTAAATTTTGATAGTTGATTGATTTTTTATTTTTCTTTATTATATAAATAATGAGGCCGTACAAGATAGTTTTTTTTTTATAATATAAACAATGACATAGATTTGTTATATGTCAGGTGTGTTAGAAGTGTTCATAATGTATGGAAAAGTTGATAAAGGTTAATGTTTTGATAAGATTTGATAGTAAAAATGGTTTAATTATCACTGACTTTTAAAATATTTGTAATGTAAAATAGAATGAAATTTGACTATAGTTTTTTTTAATAATTTAATATGTAAAGTTTTAATTACCTTTGACTTTTTCTAAATCTGTTACATCTACCTTCAAGAAGAGCGTCTTGTTAGCACCGAATTCCTTTTCCAAGGAAGCCTGAAATTCCTCAGCCTGAGCATCATTTAGATCAAACAATGCAACTCCCTAAAAAAAGAAATTTAAAATGTTAATTTGCTTCATTTTTTGCATGCAATTCACTAACTTTGACTTTGTTTGAGAGCAAAGATCTGACGATTGCTTTTCCAATCCCGCCAAGCGCACCTGTGACAATTGCGACTGTACCTTCTACGTCGAACATCGTAGCGAAACTAGCGAAAATTCATTAGCACATCTATTTATCTACATTTTATAAATCTATTTGATTGGCGTTTTGGTATAATAATCAGTTCGTTATTTTTTTTCCTCAAACTCTTATCTTTTATTATCGCATATTTTCCAACGGCGGAACTACAAATAACAATTTGTTTAGTGGACAAATATTTGAAGTTCCGCCAATGGTATAATATAAAGTAAAGGTTTATTCGCATTTTTTTAAAGAAATCAATATCTCACTCATATGATGATGATAATAGGTAACAGCAAAAATATTTATGTAAGGATTGTCACGTGCCAGTAGTCACAGGTTCAAATCCTGGTCAAGCCAGGCCATTTATGAGCCCTCTCGGTGCTTGCAGCAATATCGTTCAACACAGATATACAGTGAAATGAATAAGGTTCATCATATGGACCTTCAGCCAAGTTGATGGACAATGACAGTGTTAAGGATAGCAGCATATTCACAGTCAAAGGAAATAATGGAATCGCAAAGCATCAATATACTACTGAAGTTAACCTGCAAAACGACAGCCAACATACAAATTAAAAATTAAAAAAATCATCAAAATGGTAACTGTCCATCGGGAAAGATTACCGACCTAATGTCAACCGCGATCTTAAATTTACTCAATGTTCACATTGATGAAGCGATTGTAAATAAAATTACACGACATATAAAAAGGAATTGTGAACATCCAAAGAAATTGAACAACTGCCGTTATCTTTATAGTATTATTAGAAATGTACAAAGTATAAGATCTTATCTATATGTGTAATTATTTGTTTTTGTAGACATGGACCATTTAAGTATAAATAACGCACATTTGATTTGAGTACTGATAATTATATTTTTAATTTGTTGTCATCGATAACTTACATTATATTAAATAAAATGTGTAATTATGAGAACTAGATTAGATATTCGCGTTTACGTACTTTCTAGTTCTCAAGATTAATTTCTGTTTCAATGTTGCCTAACTTATTAGACATAAAACTTCTGTCTTAAACTTTTTGCACCCTTTGTGACACTTTACAAATTGGGTCACCGGTTAACTAGGACAGCCGCTTATTTGGGGCAAATCATAAAGAACGGAAACAAAATCGAGCAAATAACAAATGGATCTTCGATTAATTGGGACAACCGCTTAATCAACTGAAGTCAACTGTAAGTATTATTGCTTTGGCAAAATGGTTGAAAAATCAAGCCATAGACTGCATAGAGCCGTAAATATAGAAGCTATGTCTAACTCTAAACCTCGTGACATTTCATGTATACTTATTTGACCTTGACGTTCATAATATGTAGTTTAGCATTAAAAATAAACCCTTTACTTTGCTATAATTTATATTTTTTTTTGGAATGTGCATAAACTTTATTTTGATTATATATATATTTATACTAATAGTAAAACATAAATCTATGAAATTACATAAAATATTAATAAATGTATACATTGTTATTATATAATTAGATATATTTATAGGATAAAACTCTTTCTACTTGCATATTTTTTTAAGAGACATATTTCAACAAAATCGGCCATGTTTCTGATTTGTAGTCAAACTCGAAGGCAGGTTCACTGTTCTTGCTAATCCAAATAGAACCATTGCTTCCTTCTTTCAACACCTTGATCAAAGCCTCGCCAACGATTTCAGGTCTGAAATATTATCAAATTATCATCATCGTAATCGCATCTTCATATTGATTTGCTCACGGTTGCAAGCCGAAGTCAATATCCTTCATAAACTGTTGGTAGTATTCCGGCACACCTTTAAAAATGTCGGTATCCGTTCCTCCTGGACAGAGACCTATGACATTTACTTGCGTATTCTGGTAATGAGCCTTGGTTCCTATAGCCTGAGTGTATGCTACCACTCCGTGCTTGGATGCAGAATAATCGGGAAGTACATGGAATGGATACAAACCACCAACCGAACCTATATTAATTATGACACCCTCCTTGCCCTTCCTATATTTCGGAAGATAATCAAAGAAAGCCAAATTTGATATTTCAACTAACGCCAGCTGAAAATTGAAAGAGTTAAAATAAAATCAAATTATTCTGATAAACTCAAATTATTAAAACAAAATCATTGAAATGTGATACAATAAAACATAAAATAATAATTTTGTGTTAATCATTTTATGTATTAAATGTATTCAATTCATTTTCATTTAATATATACCAGATTTGTTTTGATAACCATCTCGATATTTCCAATAACTCCTGCGTTGTTCACTACAATATCCAGATTTCCGAAATGATCTACACACTTTTTAAATGCATCTGAAAGTAAGTAAAAAATATTGCAATAAAGCAAATGAATATCATAAACCTTTTCCATGATATGACATAAACAGTTTAATTAACATTAAAAGCATTAACATTAATAGAATTTTATGGTATTGACAATTATAATTACGATAAGATTAATATTGAATCATTTATGAATGCTTAAAACTTTT